AATAAGTTATTTCTATATGTTAACAAAAAAAAATCTGAATTTTAATGGTTTCAAATTACTCATTTATGAGGTTTTTAAAAAAATTAAAAAATATATATCTTGGTAAACATATCCTCAAAATAACTTTGTCACCGATACTTTGCTTTTATATTTTATATTTGTTTAGGAAATGAAAGATTCTAATCTTTTATGTTAGCTAAATATTAGGAAATCTGATGTATCACATACGATTTTTTATGGAAACATTATTTATTATGTATTTTGTAATTTCATTTATTAAAATTATTTATGGTTAAGAGTAAAAAAAGAAGTGGCATTCTATTGTAATTTTTGAGGAAAACTAAGGGTTATTTCTTTTTTGTACTTCACCTTTAATAGTTTAGATTTGGAACCGTTTACTTGGAAGTCAGCACACGTGCTCACTATCCTCACATAGTCCACCACGTATAATGCGTCTTTATTACAACTGTACACGAAAATATTGTTCTCACAACTTCCTACAAAAAAGAGAGGTAAATACAAATTTAATCAACGATGTTTCACAAATTCTACAAAATATTAATTTGATTTCTGTAATTAACTGATTGGGAAGAGAATAAATGACTTATGGAGAAGAAGAAGATATATTTCCGTGACTTACAACTTTATTCGACAACGAGATAGGTTGCAATTAATTTTGTTTGTCAGGAGAACTGGAAAGAGGGGTCTGCGTACACGTGACATGACTTTCTTTTGAAGATCTATAAAAGATGCTTATCATATCCTCTTGAAGCCAACCAATGACTTTTTTTTTTTTTTTTTGTAAACTGAAGCCAACCAATGACTTGTTAATAACTTTTTCTTCTCCTTTTTTAACTAAAATCATTTATTTTGACTTTAATCATAAATCATCAGATATCCACCGTAATTCACACGTTAATTAAAGATTAATCTCTTATGTATGGAAGGACCCTGCACTTATTAAAGACGTTTTAATTTCGACAGATTTAACAGAGTGATAGAGAGAGACCACGCTGCTCCTACTTGCGTTCTTTCCACTTGCCCACCTGGACCCCTCACTCTCCTCTCCGTTTCTTAATTCTTACCATAAATAATATTTTCTTTATTTTCCACTTCCTATTTTACAAAAGTATTATTTTAACATTTTTTTTGTAATAAAAAAGAATATGATTTTAGACTTTTTACAGAAAATTATACTTATGTTAAACTTAAGCGCCAAAATTTTTTTTTACATTCATGCAACATTTAGATGCAATATCTAAATACAATATCTAGATGTTGCATCCAAACGTTGTTCATTTTTATAGTACATGATGCAATATCTAGATGTTCTATCGTTCAATTTTTTTTT